GTGTGGATGTGGGTGTGTGGCTGTGGCTCTGTGGGTGTGGATGTGGGTGTGTGGCTGTGGCTCTGTGGGTGTGGATGTGGGTGTGAGTTTAAACAAAACCTTTAGGCATCCACACTCACCCTACTTCTGAACATACTATTGCTGCTTTTCATCAATTCGTAAACGTTAATCTTGTAAAAAAGAAAATCCAGAAAATTTAATTGTTACAAATAGATTACCAAAACTCTGTAATTGTTATATTGTAAGGTGTACATAATGGAAAAATAGAGCAAAAATGTTTTTTGTGCGATATTCATATATGGTTAGATAGAGCTTGACGAGCTCTATCTAACCACATATGAATATCACAAAAAAATAAATTATTTGCTCGATTTTTCAATTACGACATGTACATTTTATTTTAATTTAAAATTTTAATTCAAAATACAAAATGTTTAAATTGGATTTTCTTTAGCTGAAATAGTTTTTTTTTGAAATTTGTTTTTGTAGTGATGAATGACTTGCACCAGAATGATTACCAATTCGTTAGTGTGATATTTGGGTGTGAGTGTGGGTAGGTGCTTATGTTACCTTCATTCACATCCACCCACACCCACACTCACACCCGCCCACACTCACACTCATCCACACTCATACCCACACCCTCGCGTCTTAAACGTACCTTCGACCAAAATCACATCACACCGCATAATATTTCGATTAAAAATTGTGTTGAAAAAATCATTAATCTTCCACCAAGTTTTTTGTGTTGAATCATAAATTAAAAAATTTTCTCCTTCAAATGTTGTTGAATATGATGTTGGAACTTCGAAATCTAGTGACTTTGGATTAGGTTGTAACGATTTTGCACAAATCTTGTGAAATCTTGAAGCTAAATGAAGGAAAAATACAACTCTCTATGTATTTCATTTCAGACGTGATGTTTCATATAAAATTCAATTGTAATAGTCTTGCTTACCTTGAGTTTGTGGTAATAAAAAATGACATCGGTCATCATTGTTCAAATTATTTTGTATATATTCATCTTCGATTATACGAGTAAAAGGTGTTGGTTCTAATAAAACTCTCTCTTTCACTTTTTGTAATATTAATAAACGTTTAACATTATGATGATTTGGTGGATGATTGTGTTCGGCATTATTTGAACCTTTATATACATTTGAATCAATAAATACATATACAATTGATCGATAACCAGCATCTTTTCCTGAACAACGAAAACTTCGATGGTTTTTTTTAATGATTGTGAAATAAAATCATAGGTAAATCCACCCATACACATCCTATCATTGCCACGATTTGTTTTACACCAACTAATTTCACCAACTGTAACTGGCCACGATGCTAATGCACATAATTATTTATCATCATCGAATTCACGTAATTCAACTTGTTGATTATCATTACTTGAATTAAACGATGGTGATGGTAAAACAAGACATGGATCAGTATCATTAACCCTAGTACGCCCGTGCTTTTTTACGCACTACAGTAGCAATATATGCTTCTATAAAATTATTTTCTCTATTCTAAGGCCACTATCCTGACAAAAGGATACTAGTGTTATATCCAATCTGACAGAAAACAATCTTGAGAGTATATTAGTCCTTTATTTCGAACAATTAATACAAAAAATCTGCTTTATACTATGTTCGTTACAAACAAATGCAGAACATTTATAACATATAGTTGAAGTTTTTCTGTCTTTAGATGTTTCACACATTGAACACCGTTTTCGTTTTCCTTGTGCAGAATCTTCATTTGATTCTTCTGAATTTCTTCTCGTTATAGAATGACCAACAATAGCTAAAGCATTTTGAATATCTTTATGTAGAAATTTTGAGTTTTTTGAACGAAAATCCAACAGAGGTGTTATTAGACTAAGTCCAAGTTCTTCTAAAAATAATCGCCGTTGATATCTCTTATTTCGATTCCATTCTGGATTTTTCGCTTTCCATAAAATAAAAGCATTTAGAGCCGCGATATCTATCATACCGTAGAAAATACAAAGCAGCCACCGCTTTGTACCTCTTTTTACCTATAAATGACAAAATGAAAAGATAAAAAATAAAAATATTTTTTACTGTATATTTGTGGCACATTTGATCAACAGTATCAATAGCTCCCTTGGTTTTATTATAATCCAAAACAATAATTGGTTTTCCAGTCTTATTGTCCACCTGATTATCATGATGTTTCGAAGAAAGTAATAAGACAGCTTTATTATTTTTTGGTACAAAGGAAACTAAAGTTAAATTATCTTCAAAACCAAAAAGCGAAGAACCAACTTCACGAGTTTTATTTGATAGAAATTCTATAGGTATTTCTGGTTTATTTTTTCGTAATGTTCCTATAAGAGTAAGATTCTTCGTTTGAAGATTTTCGCCAATGGAACACTTGTAAAGAAATTATCCATTGTAACGTTTCTGTTTGAACCATAGAATGGCTTGAGCAATTCTAAAACTACACTTTCACCTATGTGTTTTTGTTTTTCTTGACCTGGTTGTCGTCCAATGTAAGGAAATGCATTCAATACATAATACGACTCTGCATCAACACAGCCAGAACTTTAATCCGTATTTGTCAGGCTTCTTAGGGATAAATTGACGAAATGGACATTTTCCCCGATATCCTAATAATTGTTCATCGATGGTAAGATCAAGTCCTGGTGTATAACAGGTTTTTAATTTATCTTGAAAATCTGACCAAATTTCACGAATTACTGCAAATTTGTCTGCTTGTTTTCTCTCTTCTATTGTTCTTTTATCATCAAATCTTAGACACGAAATAATTTTGTCAAAACGATTTCTTGAAATAGTAGCTTTAAATATTGGAGATTCCAAGGGACTTGTTCTCCATAAGGATCACAAATTTCCCTTTGATCTTCTTAATAAACCAGCAAGCAATAATATTCCAATTGAAGCTTTTAATTCCATCATTGTTATTTCTTCTTTTTCATCTAATCCGACGCTTCGATCATATTCAATATTTGAATAAATTAAAATTTTCTGCATCATTTTTTCCGACATAAGACAAATGAATGCGTCTTCAATAGATGCAACATTTTCAGTAAGCTTGGTCGGTCCAGATTTCTCGATATTATCACTGAAAGAATTTATTTTTGTTGAAGTAGACGGAATTGAAGACCAGATCATCCCGGACTTGGAAGTATATGAGCTTTTTCGTGTAGAACCTTCGGTTAATTTAAGATCTTCTAAACCAATTTCATCATCAGCGTCTGATGTTTGACTTTCATCATTTTCTGTTTCTGAACCACTTTGTTCGTCGGTAAAATCGTCAACTTCGCTATCCTCTTCAATCCAATTGTTCATGATCGTTTTTTATAATATAAAAAGAAATCTTAATCTATAAAATAAAACAAAATGAAGAGGTACTAGATGATAGATGAATATCTTCGATCTAAAATTTAGTCGTATGAATCATACATCATCCTAACTGGATAATCCAAAATCCAATCAATAAATACTTTTAAGTAAGGTGGAGATAAATATACAGTTAAAATGGTGCATGACTCTTAAATTTTAATGGAAAATTTAACTTGTTCTCTTGTCTAGTTTTATGTTATATACTGATGAAATTGTATTTTATTGTATTGAAGGCTTGTAATGAGATGGAATAGGAGAAATTAGTTTCATTTTAGACTACGCAACAGCTATCTATTCGTAATAGATGATGAATGATTCCTTAAACCCGAAATTAGCAAAATATTATAGTGTATTTCCAAATTTTTATGTCTGGGTCAGAAATGACCCATGTTGGGCGTACTAGGGTTAATAACGCCACCATCATTATCACTATTCGGATGATGAGATGATTCAATTTCTGATAAACAAGTTGGTACTGTTGATGTCGTATTATCTAAACATACAGTTGTATTTGATGCATGTGATGACAACATTTTATACGTACCTAATGTTGCTGTTATTCCTGTTGTTGCTATGATCGGTTGTGTTGAAAAAAATACCGTAGATGATGATGCACATTGTTTTGCCACTTTATTTTTCTTATCTACTTTAGTTGCACCAGCAGGTATAATCATATTTTCCGTATTCGACGATTGTTGTTGATGTGCTGTCGTGGAACGTGTAATGGCTACCATTATAATAAACGATAAGTTAAACGAATTGAAATAGATTATGGAGTGAAGAATGTAAAGATGTTTGTGTAAAATTTGATACAAGAAAAGATAGACAGAACGAATGACTTATATATAGGCGCAGCCAAGCAAACGAACAATCGAAATTCTCTCTCTCTACATCTTGACGAACGAATACACTAAATGATATATATATATCTTGATTAGATCTAGGAAGAACAAAGAATATAAATAAAAGATGACGAGAAAAGTGATGATTTGGTTCATATGTTAAGAAAGATAATCGAGAGTATCAAAAGATGATTCAGTATAATCATGAAAAGAAATAGGTCTTCTTCACATACTAAGAAAGAAAATATCAAGGGTATCGAATATGATGTGGTGGCGATTAAAATACAAGAAAATTTTTAAAAAGTATTACAAAAGATATTTACTCGAAAAAAATGCAATAATGTTACAGTATGAACATAACTTGATGACTTATCGAATAAAGTCTTGGTAATTAAATATATTTTCATATATATTTGGAATAAATCTTGTCAAAATTTCAACGGAAATTGGACAATAAAATGCCCAGCAAAAAAAAATTATTGTCATAATTCCCTAAGAATTTCGACAATTGTAGAATATCGACATTGTCGAAATTCCGTTTTACCATATTTTGTTGAGATTAAAATTTAGATATGCCATCGTCAAATTCAGAAGAATTTTAATCAACTATTAAACAAGTATGTAAAGAAAATTATCATTGAATCTATGTCAGTATACATATTTTATTGCTAGACACGTATTCGAAATGAAGAGGAGCAACAACAATAACAACTCATTACAAATGATAGAGATTAAATAAATCTTTGTCAAAATTTCAATTATTCTTATTTATTTAGGTCAACAAATCATTGTTTCTGATGATAGTGATGATGGAAGGGTGGGTGTATGTGTGGTTGATGAGAGGACACTCATCCACACCCACACCCTATAATCCAATCTTTTGTGTCTCACTTTTTCAATCAGGTACAACCGTCTTCGGCTAACCAAATACTTCTCTTCTTCGCAATAACATTCATCCATGTGTCGTCTTGATAATATACCATTGCATTATTGGCACCAAGTTCATCTATCTTTTGAAAGAACTCTGAATATACAGAAATAAAACTAACATTATCTAAAGATATTGTCATATTGGATGTCTTTTTGTATACGAAACTAAGCTAGAACGAAACAAAAAAAAATATATATATTCCTTTAATACTTGTTGACTTATCAAGTGCATACTCTTTTCACGTCTTTCCGCAATGTTGTGTTTGACATTATTGAAAAATCAAGACAATTCGATTTTATAAGTGACAACAACTTGCCCGTAGTTAGATATTTCTTTCTGCATAGCATCATATTAAATTGATATCTGATCATATACTCTTCCTTCCACTATGTTCTTTCTTCTTCGCTCACATTATATAATCAGAATGGTGGGACCATTTTTTTTCATTTTTCAAGATGATAAGCATGACGTGGAACATCAGTTGCTTCTAGCCTATGGAAAATTCTATTCCTTTGGACATCGTTCACCACTGTAATTCTTAGTAGTAAACACTTGTATATGAAGAGAGAAAGGCGTATCTTGCGATGAACATTGATGTAGGGTAATAACAATATCTTTTCTTTCTTTTTCTATAGGCTAGAAGAAAAGAAAACGAATGTGTGATTTCGCTTCCCTATATAGTACACTGTTATTCACATAGTGCAAGAGAAATATCGCGTAAACATACACATATTGAATCAATTTGAAAGGGTCTATGGAATCATTCCTTAGAACATAGACTGTGATATAGAGCCATGGTTGTACATATATTCGTGGAACACTTTGCACACAATGCTATAGCTTTATCTTTATAAAAGTGTTCTTTACACAAAATATAAATATTATATTGCCATCCAACTTGATTGATAATCTGTATTGACAGCTGTTTTCATAGAGCCTAGTCTTTGTAAAATAAGAGGATGTGTGCGGCTCAGTAAAAATGGTTTATCTCTTGAACCGTAATAGCTACAGAAGTTGGCTTTGCGCAGATTGCTAGATGATGTTATGATCTAACTAGATATGATATAACAATGGAATATCATTGAAGTGTCATAACCTTACCACCTGATATTTGAAAAATTCAGAAAATGCAATAAGTATAAAATATGATAGACCCTTGGTTCCTTAATAGATTTGTTTTCTCCACCACCTTCTATCAAATGGTGAAAACTGCAGGTCTCCAGCTGTTTGTATTCTTGAGTTATTTAAAAAACAGTGGAGCACATTATATTTTTAAATGGACATTAATTCTATGAGTTTTTATTGGATTGGATCATATGTCAGGTGCTCACTAACGGGATTGTACGTTGATTGTCTATATTTCGAATTAGCGACAAGATTTACCTATCTTTATTCATAGTCTACTGATGGATTTTTGTAAGATTTTACCTATTAATTTACGGGAAATACTGTCATTGAATATGGATTTATTAGAAAAAAGATACAATTCAAAAAATTTTCATCACTATTTAGCCAAGTGGAAAATAAACTGTATATGTTTCATTGATGATTTCGTAGAGAGGTAATAATCGGAAAGTAGAATTATCCAGAGTTGTTACTTCGAATTGAATTGGTTCTTGAATCGTAGAATATAGTCTTCGAATAAAGTTCATATCTCGTCGTAATGGTTTTGCCTTTGTAGTCAAACCACCAAGAACAATGGGTCC